TTAATCGTCTGAATTATTACTTGTATGTCTGTGCAATGAATGTCACTCCCAAACCAGCTATAGGCACCAAGCTCAACAGTCAAACATGTTGTTTCACAAAAGAAATATTAGAAACCACAGATTTACGAATAAACACTACAAGAATTTTTGATATAATTGATTTTTCAGGTATGAATTTGCTTGTAAATGCAGGTATTATCATTACCAAACTGAGCTGCAGTTGTAATCTTCAATATAGCACTTAAAAAAGCATTATCACAACTGAATATGAACTGTACTAAACCACACTTGTATAATCTGCATTATGGGAAGGTTGCCTAGAACAGCCTAGCCAGTGTTGATGCAATAATACTTACAAAAGTCTTACAAACTATTACTTAACTATTATTAATATATCATTGTCACATGTGGTCCTGGAGTCTTAAACTGTACCAGTGTATTTGCAGGAAAAGTCAGCAATACATTATATGCGTCAACATCATATATTGTTCCTTTATGGCCCACGATCGTCATAATATTAAGTTAATATCATGTTCCAAGAAGATGTTTTGTTAATTATCTTCAATAAATGCATAAAAATGTCATTTTAAATTAGCATTATGCATTGCTTGAAGAGGTTAATCTGACAACTTTAAAGGTGTTTTTTACTGCTTATGCAATATTATAGTGCTTAGAGCAGGTTTGGCAGAGACGTCTCCATCTCACACACACAAAATAATAATTCAGAGGGTTTAATCTTTAATACAGCACTTAAAAAAGCATTATTACAAATGTAAATGAACTGTACCAACCTACACTGGTATAAGCAGAATTATGGGATGGTTAACTGGACTAGTAAAGCCAGTTTTGACGCAATAATACTTATAAAAATCCCACAAAATACCTATTATTAATATATTATTGTCATTTGTGATCCTGGAGTGTGAAACTGCACCAGTATATTTGCAGGATTAGTCAACAATATATTATATGCTTCAAAATGATATATTGTTCTTTTATGCCCCAAAATGTTTATAATATTAAGTTATTATCATGTTCCAAGAAGAGATTTTGTACATTTTCTTCAATAAATGCATCAGAATGTAAATTTAGATTAGCATTATGCATTGCTAAGAGCTTAATCTGACAACTTTAAAGCTGTTTTTTACTGCTTATGCAATATTATTGTGCTTAGAGCAGGTTTGGCAGAGACGTCTTCATTTCACACACACACACAAAACGAGCATTCAGAGGGTTTAATCTTTAATACAGCACTTAAAAAAGCATTATTACAAATGTGTTTATGAACTGAACCAACCCACACTGGTATAGCCTGCATTATGGGATGGTCAACTAGAACAGTAAAGCCAGTGTTGATGCGGTAAAACTCACTAAAGGACATTTAAGTATGACAATAACTGAATCTCCAACGGCTCATATTACACCAAACAGACAATATTACTGCTGAACTACTTTAGTCTGCAATTCAAATTAACTTTCCGACTCCACAAAGGTATGACTTGTTATAATCATGCAGTGTGGGGAACAATATTAATATTATTTGTTAGTAATACATGACCTACAGGCTGCACAGATTGACCTCATTACTTGTTATACTTCTCTTATTATACTGAGATCTTCTGAGCCTGAAACCATTTTATAAACAGTTTTATAATGTATTTAGGGCTTTAACAGATTGCTTGACCCTAGGATAGTGTCTTTTTAACCCCTGGCATAGCAACGTTTCACAGTTGTAAGTTTGAAAGTGTTTTTGCTTTTAACCCTGCTTTATGATGATTATCATCTTCTTTTATCCCGACGCTTTTCGCATCGCCTTACGACATAGTTTCAACATGCTTAAATTATAATGTCATAATGGCTTAACAGTTGACCAGAACGTAGAGACAAACATGAGATGTAATACACAGAGACGATCAGCATCAGCGCTGGTTTGTCAACTCCTCTGTGTCGAACTTGTGACCAGAAATATCCTTCTTTCAGTTAATATAGGCTTCTATGAAACTGTGAATATTTCACTTTCATTTTATTTAGGCTAGATCATTATTAATTTAACAAACCAACACAATCTCACGTTATCTAGTGTTTTTGTGCTGAAGCATATAGCAGACTTAAGCACTCCACCCCAAAGGTTATTTGTTATTCTTTATTTCTTTAAATAATGTAGCCCAGGGTGAGGCAGTGGCGCAGTAGGTAGTGCTGTCGCCTCACAGCAAGAAGGTCGCTGGGTCGCTAATTCGAACCTCGGCTCAGTTGGCGTTTCTGTGTGGAGTTTGCATGTTTGCATGTTCTCCCTGCGTTCCAGGTGCTCCGGTTTCCCCCACAGTCCAAAGACATGCGGTACAGGTGAATTGGGTAGGCTAAATTCTCCCGGTGTATGAGTGTGTGTGTGTGTGTGAATGTGTGTGGATGTTTCCTTTTCCCGGCTGGAAGGGCATCCGCTGGGCAAAAACTTGGTGGATAAGTTGGCGGTTCATTCCGCTGTGGCGACCCCGGATTAATAAAGGGACTAAGCTGACAAGAAAATAAATGAATGTAGCCTAGTAAGGGTTAGGGTTGTGTTATTAAATTCCATAACACTCTCACCAGTCCTTACTCCTTGTTTGCGTCTAATACCCCAGTTTGTCACAGGGGCATGAATGAAATGTGTATAAGTGGAAAAAGTGCCAAACTGCAGTTAAAGTCACCCAAAATTACAGGAAACTCTTACATGAAAGCACTTCACGTAAACACCTTAATTATATTAGTGACTATTAAGGCAAATAACTAGATCACAGGTGTACATGTAAGCGTAGTCAGTAGTGTCTTCGAGGTAAGTGAAAGATAAAGAAGGGCGTCCTGCTGATTTGATTTAGAAGAGCACTTTTTGTCAGACGGCTCACCGGTCAGGTATACACACACACTAAAATATTAAGGTTAAAGTCATCATAGCTTGCGCAGAAACGACCCAGCTCCCAACCCAACTTTGAGAATAGATTAACAGGGATATTTTATTTATCGCCCGATAGGAGCACATTAATTCCGATAATGGCCCAGCACTAGTTAATATTCAAAATCATTTTGTTTAAGTTTTTGTTTTTGAATAATAATAGGTTTATCCTGGATGCAAAATCTACTTTTAATCCTAGAGTCACCCATCCACTACACTAAAAAAAGTGTTGCATGCAGAACTGTTGCAAACAATTTATTTGTGTTGAATTTAAACAAACAAATTAAATTTAATAATGTTCAACAATTTGTTTGTTTAAATTCAACACAATTAAATTGTTTACAACCACTTAACGTAAAAAAAATTGAGTAAATCCAAGGAATAATCTTTGAATATTTTTTTTTTCAGTGTACAAAAAAAACTGCTGGGTTCCACACAATTCCTTCATGTTGTCCCAACACAAATCGATTAAGTTAACTTAACCAATTTAAGGGGATTGAACATAAAACATTTAAGTTGTCCCCCCCAAAAAAATATCAAGAATTATGTTGATTGAACTAATTTTAAATAAGTAGTTAGGAGCAAATAATAAAAAGTAACTAGGAGCAAAAATCATTTATATTATACAATGTACTGCTTTGAACTACTAAACTAAACTACTAAACTACCACTACTTTTCACTGTGGTAAACTGCAGGGTTAGTTTTTCTTTTAATACAAAAATTAATTCATTTTTCTTCAGCTTAGTCTCTTTTTTATCAGGGGTTGCCACAGTGCAATGAACCGCCAATTATTCTGGCACATGTTTTACTCAGTGGATGCCCTTTCAGCCACAACCCAGTACTGGGAAACACGCATACACTCCCACATTCACAAACACACTAATACACTACGGCCAATTTAGTTCATCCAATTCACCTAAAGCGCATGTGCTTCCAGCCTCCACCGCGGCGACTGAAGCTCTGCACAAGACTTTTGGCCAGCGGAGAAATTAAATGGTCGGGCCCAACTGAGTCTGGTTCTCTCAAGGTTTTTTTTTCTTCACTCCCATCAGGTGAAGTTTTTGTTCCCTCTCCGCTGTCGCCACTGCCTCGCATGGTTCAGGATTGGTAGAGCTACGCATCGATGAATTTGCTCTTCAGTGTTTGAACTCTCAGTAATGATTAAATCACACTGAACTGAGCTAAACTGAACTGAACTGAACTTAAACACTAAAAACTGAACTACACTGTTCCAGTTACTATGACCATTTATGTGAAGCTGCTTTGACACAATCTACATTGTAAAAGCGCTATACAAATAAAGCTGAATTGAATTGAATGTGCTTGGACTGTGGGGTAAACCGGAGCACCCAGAGGAAACCCACGCCAACACTGGGAGAACATGCAAACTCCACACAAAAACAACAACTGGCCCACCAGGGACCTCGAATCAGCAACTTCCTTGCTGTGAGGCGACAGTGCTAACCACTGAGCCACCGTGTCACCCTATCAAAAATGCAATTCTAAAGCATAAATAAATGAAAAACACCCATGTGTCATGAACTATAGATGACTGCTAATTAACAGATAATTCCACCGTGCAACTAATGTTATACTTTTTGGAAATAACTTAAGTGTTTACAAAACAAACAGTGAAACATTTCTAAACATAAGTTTTAATAACTCATTTCTAATAACTGATTTCTTTTAGCTTTGCCATGATGACAGTAAATAATATTTGACTGGATATTTTTCAAGACACTTCCATACAGCTTAAAGTGACATTTAAAGGTTTAACTAGGTTCATTAGGCATGTTAGGGTAATTAGGCAAGTCATTATGTACCGAAAAAAATACTGCCTAAAAGGTCTAATAATATTGACCTTAAAATAGTTTTAAAAACCTAAAAACTTGTTTTATTCTAGCTGAAATAAAAAAATAAGACTTTCTCCAGAAGAAAAAAAATATCTTGCTCTGTTAAACATCATTATGAAATATTTGACAAATAAAAAAATAATAATAATATTGACTTTAACTGTATGTATTCAACAAATAAATAAATATTCAGAAATATAAATACAACACTACTACTTACACTTCCAAAAAGGAACATCTTGACCATACGTAGAATCAGATACGCCCAGAATATGTGAAGCATCAAGAGGACGATGAGCATGAAGTTAAAAAAGTAATATCCAAAGAACGGTGGGTAATACAAAGGCGGGTAAACCCACGTGCAGTGAATGATCCTGCAATTAAAACGCATGAGATGGTTTAGGATATGTTAATGCACATAAGCATTATAAAAAAAATACACCTGAAAAGTGCACAGTTCTCACCAAAAGGGAAAGATGATGAGTCTGGTGATTATAAAGACGGCGGCAAACACTACAAAGATGCCGTTGCAAGTTTTGAACCATTTGGCGTAGTTAAAAATCTTGGCAGACTGCAAAGAGATAGCACATGACAATTTGTTCAAACAGGTGATGCACAAAATCAGCCATATGAATCCAATAACAGTTTAATAGTGACTCTAAACTGCTGAGACATTCATAAACTATTTTAAAGGCCCTATTAAATGAGCTGACAATGTGTATTCCTTATAGAAACACTATTTTTAAGGAATATACTATTGTTTAGTAACTTGTCACAATCACCAGCGATCATAACTTCATAGATCGCTGGATCTCACTCACCATAACTTATGGACTACAATTCTGCCACTTCTGGACTACATATTCATACATGCACTTCGCTCAGACACACATGCTTCCTCATCTAGACTGATTACACTCACACCACCTGAGGATTGCCAGAGACTGATTGCACCCACTATTTAAGCTACACACTCACTCATTCAGTTTGCCGAGTCTTGTTAACTGTATTGTAACACTACAACAAGTTTTCCTTGTCTTGTTTCTCCGTGTTTTGACCTCAGCCTTGTTTACCTTTTGTCTCTGTCTGCCGCCTGCCTTCTGACCTCTTGCCTGTTACTTCGACTACGATTCTGGACTGTCTTCATATACCTGTTTGCACTAGTGGTGGGCAAAGCGAGGTAGAGATCTGCGCGGGACTAAATTTTGAATCCCGCTCCCGCCAGGTTTTAGCCCGAACCTGACCGCTCCCGCTTATATTAAGAATTTATTGTCCAGCTGCCCGACCCGCCTCGTTTTATGGCCGCCGCGCCCGATCCCGCTAAAGAGCGGGGGAGAACAAAACCGAAAATCCCCCAGCTATACAGTCCAGACAGCCAAGCTGTCTGTATAAACACACACACAGCACCAAGCACACACACACAGACAAATCTCTCTCTCTCATACGTGCGCGCGCGCACTAACACACACACAAGCACCAAGCAGACACACAGGCGTTTGCTGTTATATCAACTCAAAGGCTTGTAATACCATGTATCAAGTACCAATGTAATACCAAAAGGTTTTATATAAATGTATATAAATACTGAGTCGCGCCAGCTCCGGGCCGCAGCGCACATTACTCTCGGGCCAATTCCGGCATGGATGCGGCAGCGTCGGCTCGCTTACGGCCGCCGCATCGGGCCGGAATCGGGCAGTGAGTCCACAAGCATCTGGAGTCCGGCAGCCGGAGCCGGGCTGAGTGGTAAGTCTCCGGCAGGCGAGAATCTAGCCGGAACTGGCCCGAGTGTATTTTGCTATCTGGGAAAGCTCTCTCTCTCTCATTCGCGTGCGCGCACTAACGTACACACACACAAGCACCAAGCACACACACAGGCAAAGCTCGCTCTTGCTCTCTCTCTCTCTCTCTCTCTCTCTCTCATTCGCATAGCAATATCCGCGATATTGCTAGACAGCCCGCTCCCGTCCCAAATTAAACCCGTTACCGACCGCTCCCGCGATTTATTCGGAAATTTATTCCCGTGTTGCAGAAATCTGGTCGGGTCCTGCGGAGCCCGCGGGACAGCCGCGAGAATGCAGACCTCTAAAGCGAGGCTTCGTGAAACACTGAAACAGTCGAAGCAAATGTGTCGAAGCTTTGAAACGTTTCGAAACCCCAGTGACACCTAGTGGTCATTTTTTTTATGTATTACACTGAAACAGCTTTAAATTGAGGCATTAAAACCCACTTTGTATGTTTGAGCCTTCAAATAATATAGTGGAGTGTTTAAGGTATTCGACTACCATGCGGCGATAGTGGGTTCGAATCCAGGCTGATATTGTTTTGAAATGCTTTAATACCAGTTAGTAATGCTTTGCTCTTGTATCGTTTTGTTTCAACATTGGTCTGATATCCGAATAAACAATTTGTGAATAAAAATGTCTTGTTTTGGTCTTAAAACAGGGTTGTTGCTAGATCAGAAACTGTGGCCTGAAGTTATCAAGAATTATTTGTATTATTCATTAAATTTCCCATTTATTGTATTTTATTAATGTCTACTCAAACCCTAAACCCAACAATCACAGTACTGTAAAATAATTAATTATAGTTTTACAGTGTTACAAAAATGATGCTATATTGATGGCGTAACTGCAGCTGTATCCTATTTAGGCTACATAAAACAGAAACATGATTAAAATACATGACAACATGATTTCAGAGTATTTGTACAAGTCGGGATTTGAACCCAAAACGTCAATCGAAGCACAGTATCAGCGTGCACATGCACAGTCCACTAGGCCATTTGAAACGGGATTTTCCAACCTTGGCAGCCAAATGAAGAATCGCCACGTCTCGAAACCCTTTTAAGCTGATCCATGCTTTGAATCGCTTTAGTCACGTGACTAGGTGTTTCGAAACACTTTAGTCACGTGACTTGGGTGCTTTGGATCATGCTTCGGTGCAGTGTTTCAAAACACTTGCACTTCAGGATCTCGACACTGTGTTGGAAAATTCAGTTTCACGTCAGCCATCCCTAGTTTGCAGCTGTATTGACCATTGCTTGCCTGACCACTGATTAAACCTGCTACATGTTACATAACTAGGTGCCACTGGATGTGTGTAAGTTACAATGTATGGAATGATTTTTACATTGTACTATTAAACATAAGTCTTCATATACATGTGAATATTCAATTAGTACCTATTATTTTCACACATATTTAAACAAGAGTTTAATAAGAAATGTTTAATATATAGTTTATTTTGTCTTTGCCATGATGACAGTACATTATACTTTAATAGTTATTTTGCAAGATATTAGTATTCAGCTTAAAGGCTTAACTAGGTCAATTAGATCAACTAGGCAAGTCAGTGGTTTGCTCTGTAGACAATCGATAATATTGCTATTATCATAGTAGTCACAGGTTTGGTGGTATTGGTGTGTTTAACGCATTCCTGTCAACCCTCCTGTTTTTCACAGGATTCTCCCGTAGTTTACAGTTCTATCCCACTATCATCCCGTAAAAGTATTTTCCTGTATTTCTCCCGTATTTTCAGTCTTTCTCTGAAGGGTGGCAATAAACATTAAAGAGCCGATCCTCCCTATATGTAACCCTTATCGCCGAATCACCAGGGGCCGCCCCTTGCTCTTAAATGTGAGTCTGTTCTATGCTTAAGCTTCGTTTAGGCATGAAAACACTATGAAATAAATAGAAGAACTGCGGGATTTCCTTTCCTTTTCATTACAGGTGCCGTCACCCCTCCTATGCAATCCTCAAAACAGTCATGTAGCGGTGCGTGACTGTCAGCTGAGGTGATCCATAGTGATAAATAGACACTGTTTCCCAAATGGATTCTGTATTCAAGCTATTCAAGCTATCCGCTTGTTAAGTGTGACGTCACGCGAAGCGGCTTCCGGATCCAATCGCTCTATTCAACTGCATGGGAAGACTCAGGAAATGGTAATTATAAAAGTTTACAAAGCGATTTAATGCTTTCGAAAATCACGATCGCAGTTTATATGTCCATGCCTAATATCTGATGGCCAGAAAGTGATAATTTTTTTTATAAATTGTTACATTCTTGGTATTTGTTATGCGGCAAGCCCAGAGATTGTTGTGTACACTATGATTTTATATAAAATTAACTTTAATGTGTGATAATAATAGAACGTGATCATAAACCAATGATTTCTCCACTCAAATGAATGGCGGCTTGGACCCAGAAACAGTATTACATACGTCACAAACACGTCACCACTTAACAAGCGGATCCCTTATTATGGTGGGCATATCCCTTATTTTCACATCCGAATCTTGACAGGTTCGGTTTAACGGTGGGTTAAGAAGTAAGGGATGGGTCAACAGCATAATGAAATTAACTGTAGTTGTAAGCATATAAGTATAGTGTAAAAACATGTACACAATAAGTGCATCATACCTGAAAATTCATTTATATGCAAGTGCAATGTAGTTAAAGGGACAGTTCATCCAAAAAAAACCCGAAAATTTCCTGTTTATTTACTCGCCCAAAGGTCTTCCAAGATATACAAGATATAAAAATGCTTCAGAATTGCTTCATGTTTTCCCAAACCAAATCAATCAAGTTAACTTAATTGTTTCCATCCGGGTGCTCCGGTTTCCCCCAAAGTCCAAAGACATGCGGGATAGGTGAATTGGGTAGGCTAAATTGTCCGTAGTGTATGAGTGTGTATTAATGTTTCCCAGAGAAGGGTTGCAGCTGGAAAGGCATTCGCTGCGTGAAACATATGCTGGATAAGTTGGCGGTTCATTCTGCCAACCCAAATTAATAAAGGGACTAAGTTGAAAATAAAATGAATGAATGAATGAAGAAAGAAAGAAAGGTAACCTGTGGCTGAGTAAATTAACAGGAAATTTCTATTTTTGGGTGAACTATCTCTTTAAGACCACTTAATATAAAGTAGTACCAATTATTTTAAAACATTAGTCAATATTCTTGCTTGTTTTTCTCGGATGTAACGAAGCCAATCATAATAATATAGTTCCTGGAATGTTCCCTGATCCCATTGCACTGCCATCTATTCATATTAACAGAAGAATGATGAATACTCAAATAAATAAAACAAATTGTTGGCATATTATTCACCTCCAGAAGGATGTCTGAGGAGTCGTGAATAAGCAGGACCAATGTCCCGACGCGGATGTAGTTTCCACACCAGGAGAAAGCCAAGAGTGTCAGTGTGGCCCAATGATGGATGATCTGCTCTTTAAAGTCCTGAAAACAGAATCGCTTGCAGTATTATTTTTACACTTATTCTGTCGCAGAAAACAAAACAGCATTGCATTGATCAGATGCTTTTATCCAAATCAATTTACATCGCATTGAAGCCATGCACATTTCTCATTTCATCAATTGTTGAATATTAGATTTAATCAGCTCTTACATTTTAGCTTCAGATAACATTTGAATTTGAATGTGTTTATTTGGCTTAAGTTGCAGTGGAAAGACTTTAACCAGTTCTTGAATAACAGATGAGATCTGAATCTAAATAATGAAAACACCAAATTAATATATAGGTTAAATATATAGAGTTCAGTCATTATCTTACATCTTAGTTTTTTGTTGTTGTTTTTTTCATGATCGGAGATTGGATTCTAAAGCATTTTATCTGAAGTCCTCCAGGGGTGCATTTCCCAAACAATGACGTAAATCACGGCTGAACTATAATAGTACGATGCATCGTTTGGGAAAAGAACGATGTAGTGACCAGTGTTTCCCAAAACCCACACTTTCTCGGTGGCAGATCAATCGTTTGAACTATGTTCCGGACTAAGTAAAACCCCCATAATGATTAGATTAGATTCAACTTTATTGTCATTACACATTTACAAGTACAAGGCACCGAAATGCAGTTTAGGTCTAACCAGCAGTGCAATAGCAGCAAGTGCAGGATACAGGTATAAGTTATAAAGTGCAGTTATTAAAAAACTATAGTGATATTTACACATGGATGTACTATGAACAATATATACAGGTTGTATTAGCTATGAACAGAGATTTACAATAAATGAATATATGTAAAGGATGCTATTAATAATCAGAAGTGTGCAGATAGATAAACAATTACAAATGTCCATGTGCAGTGGGTATGTACAGTTCAAATAAGTGAATCAGTGCAATGTAGTGCAATGAATATGTGCAAATTTTAAATGTGCAAATGTTAAACAGTGCAGTGATTGTGAGGAGTATAAGTTAGAGGGGAGTGGGGGGTGTATATGAAGGGCAAAAGAGTCCGTGTGGGGCAGAGTTCAGAAGGGAGACAGCTCTGGGGAAAAAGCTGTTCCTCAGTCTGCTGGTTTTTGTCCGGGGAAGCTTGAAGCACCTGCCTGAAGGCAGAGAGAAAACAGTCTGTGAGCAGGGTGAGAGGTGTCCAGAAGAATACTCCGTGCTCGGCGCAGACAGTGTTTCTTCTGAATGTCCCCTGTGGCTGGCAGTGTGGTCCCTGTGATGCATTGGGCAGTTTTCACACCCGCTGCAGTGCCTTACGCTCAGCAACAGAGCAGCTTCCATACCAGACTGTGACGCAGTTGGTCAGGATGCTTTCTATTGTGCAGCGCTAGAAGTTCACCAAGACGGCTGATGAAAGCTGGTTCTTCTTAAGCTGCCTTAAAAAAAATAGGCGCAGGTGAGCCTTCCTGACCAGAGGTGGAGAAACAACTTCTTTAGAGAAGAACCCCATCATTTGTTTGCACAAATTATACTGTTTTAAACGCACATGCATTTATTTAATATTATCTAATAATATCTAATCAATATTAGATTTGCTAAAAAATGCAATCGCTTTTTATATTAATTGAAATATATGTAAATGGCACATATAGGGCCTATGTTTCCTTTAAAAATATTATTGAGGAGATTACATATTCTACTCTAAAACATCACTTACAAAAGCTAACACGTATTCTATCATATATTAATCATATAAATAAATAAATAAATAAATAATGTGACAATTTATTTTAAAATGAAATTTAATATTTATTATTTATTAGGAAATCAAAAACATTCCCAAGTGCATGTCAGAGCCATAGAGAGTAGCCTTCATCTAGATAAACAGCACAGTGACAGACAAGAATGAAGCAGATCTCTCTTACTACAGTAAGAACTTTCACAATGGTTACTTGATGCATTTGTTGTGGAGTTAATTCAAGCCTTTCTGCAACAATGAGTCACACACAATGTTGTTATAAAGTTAGCACGCACAAGCACACACACACACACACACACATACTTTCAGCTTAGCACTGTTTTTTCACAACAAATATGACAGGATACACAATAATATCCACTGCTGTATGGATATCCGTTGTGTTAATGTACAAAATAAACTCATTTAAGGTCCACAAACCGGGATTGAGGCGTCTTCTTTTACAATTGTACTGACATGCCGCAGTGGTGATGAATTACAGCTATTTTACTGTCTTTATTACAAACATATACTGTTTTGGAAACTTTTTAAACTTGTAAAACTCATTCTTGAGGTGCAGATGATCACAGAGAGCCGAACAGATCTTTTCATCTCAGTTGCTTTGCGCATGTCCTGTCTTGTAAATATGAGAATATGCATTATTATGGAGACCTGTAAATAGGCTGTCAATCAATTTAGTGGGCGGGGAACACACTCATGCGTCACATTGCAGTGGGCCTCAAAATAGGAGGGATTTGGATCCTTTTTAAACATCAGGTAATTTAAAAAAAAGAGACTTATTGTGCTTATATCACACCAGTGTGATCGTGGACACACCATACCTACACACAGTTCTGTCCAAACAGCTTCCAAACATATTCAATCAATATTCATTAATATTCATCATAGGTGTCTTTTAAGTTAAGGCCATGAGTTTACTCAGTTTTTAAAGTAAAACAAACTAATCGGTTTAAAAAGCAATGGATTTACTTAACTTTTTTAAAGTACAGCCAACTAAATTATTTTTACAGTGTTTTAAGCTGCAAGTTTTATCTTAAAACCTATTCACAAAGCTGCGGAGACAAAATTTTACTTAGGAATGCAGAGAATATGAGAATAAGAATTAACTATGGGTAATAGATATTGCTATAGATCATTTTGTTCATTCGGTATGCACAACCTGATCGGCTGAAAAGTGGAGGGCCTCTGTCATAGATTTATTCTTGAAAACATTGTAAAGGTTAATATTATGTAGCCATATTCAAATAAAGGTTTAAAAAAAAACTGTTTGCCTGGAATTAAAAGTCTACAAAAGTCATACACCTCTGAAATAAACGTATTACCTGGGGGCTAATAAGTAATGTGATAAACAATTAGGCTCAATGGAAACAGATTTAATTAAAAAAGCTTCTAGTACATAGTGTTATGCAGCAATACTGACCTTTCGTTTGACATCGAAGGTTATTCTGAGAACAAGCGATAAATAGAAACTCATCTCCACAGTATAATACCAATACTGTGAGTCTAACATGGACTGCAAAGAAAAAAAAAGCACAACAATAAACTTTCAGAAACATGCACAATAGCAAGGCTTGAACATTTTTATGATAGAAAATCTGTGACTATACAGTTTATTTAGCTTTGATTTTTAGCTCAGGCCCATTGGAAATAAGTGCCTTACATTTGAGAAATGTGAAATGCAATACTCTAGGTTTGTTTTATTGCACGCTTCAGATGACAAATCCACTAGAGGGCGCTGTCTACTTTTTTGCGAATCTGAAATACATTACTGGGTATTTGTTTTGTTGTACATTTTGGATGACAAATCCACTAGAGGGCGCTGTCTACAGTTTTGCAAATCTGAAATACGTTACTTAGTGTAGGTTTTGTTGTATGTTTCAGATGACAAATCCACTAGATGGCGCTGTCTACATTTTTTTTTTAATGAAATGCGTTACTTAGTATATGTTTTGTTGTACATTTCAGATGACAAATCCACTAGAGGGCGCTGTCTACATTTTTCTAATCTGAAATACGTTACTTAGGGTGTATATTGTTGTACGTTTCAGATGACAAATCCACTAGAGGGCGCTGTCTACATTTTTTTGAATCTGAAATACATTACTTAGGGTGTTTTGTTTTACGTATTAGATGACAAATCCACTAGAGGATGCTGTCTACATTTTTGCGAATCTGAAATACTTAGGGTATGTTTTGTTGTACGTTTCAGATGACAAATCCACAAGAGGGCGCTGTCTACATTTTTTGCGAATCTGAAATATGTTACTTGAGGTATGTTTTGTTGTATATTTCAGATTATTGTACTTTTTGTACATATGCCAACATATTTGATTGCAAATCATAGACATTGTTAAGTTGTTTTGGGGCATTTGTTTGGTGTTGTGCAAAGAATTGCACTAAAATAATCCTTTATTCATTGATAATACGGTCTTGTGAATATCATTAGTGTGAAAAGGAATAGTTGTTGGCGTCATACTTCCCCATAGCATTCATTTTACCCAGAAACTGTAGTTAAATGTATGTTTAAGCACATTTTTGTGATTTTTTTTATTTTTTATGTTTAAGTACATTTTGTAAGTTTAAGCACATTTTGTTGGTTCACGAAAATGTAGGCTGAAGCACATATTTACATTGTACTGAGCTTGAGTTGCAGACATTTTAGGGGGGGGGGGGTTATTTTAGGAAACTCAAGTGTTTTTAATGCCAATCTGAATGACATCATTTTTGATTGCAACCTGGAACTCCAGACACATTTCAGCTTGGCCAAAAAAAGGCATTTTTGTTTTAAATATGGCCGTGTTTGATTTGGCACATGTGTGAGACTTATTATCTGCATTATTTATTAGCTGTGATGTCAATTTGGGCACTGCATGAACCCTTTATCAGGACCAGGTCAAAGTGTTCTTATTAGTGCAGGTGATATGAGCCATAAAATACAAACACTTCTTGGAACACATGTGAGATCTGAAAGAACTGGGTCATACCTGTTTCGGATAGTCACTCCACACTTCAGGCACATTGTAAAACCAGGGTTTCTGTGAAAAACAGATAAGTCAATATAATTAAATTCATGTCAATATGCTCATTTTGGCCTTTAAATGGGGCAGACAAAACAGAAAAATAAGTATTAAACATAATTTTTTTTCTGGGAATAATATTTGTAAAGGAGCTGTTAACATAGAATTAAACCAGATTTTGGTTAAAACCCAAACAATACAAACATAAAAATGAAACAAAACAAAAAAATCTTGATGTTGATGGTTCTGTGGGGCTCGTCTATCAAATCTGAGCTTAATTTTGTATTCTCTATCGGGTTTAAATCAGGTGATTGGCTGGGCCATTCTACAGCTTGATTTTCTTTCTCAAAAGCATTTGAGAGATTCCTCAGGTTGCCACAGTGGAAAGAACCAACAACTTATCCAACTTATGTTTTACACAGCGGATGCCCTTCCAGTTGCAACCCAGTGCTAGGAAACATCCATACACACTCATTCAAAGTCATACACTACGGCCAATTTAGTTTATTCAATTCACCTATAGCGCAGGTTTTTGGACTGTGAGGGAAACCTGAGCACCAACCCACACCAACATGAGGAGAACATGCAAACTCCACACAGAAATGCAAACTGGCCCAGCCGATGCTCGAACCAGTGACCATCCAGCTGTGAAGTGACAGTGCTAATAAATATATAATTAAACATTGATATTTTTTTTAAATATTTATACAACTATGATCATGTTCTGGTTCTGATTTCGATAGCTTATTTTAGTTAATTGCAATGTTTTTATGATTTCAATTTGGATAGTATGATGGGGTTGGATGATTAATAACACTTTTTGTTGTTGTTGTTGTTGTTGTCATCGTCGTCGTCGTTGTTGTTGTGTGACAAACTCAAAACTCATATTTTATTATGACTTTACCCGGATTTTAAATGGCAATAATGATATCAAACAGCAGGCCAGAAAACAGACCATTTTCTACAGATCTCTTACTTCAGAAATGCAGAGTATTTATATTAACAGACCACTTTTTATAGGTAAGCTTGAGAAGAGGAGGAAAATATACTTACATCATACAAAGCTATGATTCCTCCAATGAATGCCAACAGATAAAAGATCATTCGCCAACTATAAGAGAAAAGCCGATGTTCAGAAACTACATTTTAAATGAAACAAGCTAAAAACAGAAGTCTTGAGAGTGTAGACAAGTATTTTGTACATTTCCCCATAGTGATTTTTTAAAGTCTTAATTAAAGCATCAATCAAGGAGAATCACTATATTACAAACTTTGATTTGAAACACAGAAGTATATGAAAATCTGACAAAAAGACAACGATGCAAGACTGCGAACTTAACAGCATTTATAAGGGTAAATACGGGTAAAACTACAATCCCATGAAGCATTGGGAATGACATAATAACATTTAAAACGATGTAAAACACAATGATATTAATTAAAAGTTGTCGGTTGTAGCTACTGAAACAGTACATTTCAAATTTACTCCAACCCGTTGCAAGATTACTGGCTTTTCTTGCACAGCATCATGGGTAACGTAGTTTTTTTTTTTGCACAAATTCTGCTATTTAGCAAGATTATTTTAAAATTAGTTAAATTAAAGACTGATGAGATTTTGGGCTCTATTTTGACGGTCCATGCGCAGAGCGCAAAACGCAGGGCGCAAATGCTTTCAGGGCGTGTCAGAACGCGTTTTTGCTCATTTAAGGACGGGAAATCTGCTTTGCGCTGTGGCGCATGGTCTAAAAGGGTTGAGTTTATTTTCTTAATGAGTTATAGGTGTGTTTTGAGAATAAACCAATCAGAGTCTCATCTCCCATTCCCTTTAAGAGTCAGCTGCGTCGTGCCAAGAGCGCATTTGCTACTTACAGGATGCAAAGTAAGTCTAAGTGGAAAAACTGATCATTTCAGTAGCAAACAGTTAACAGTTTTTTTTAACAGAAAACTGTTAAACAGAGCATCTACTGCATGAGAATGAGAGATAATGGATCACTTTCACTTTCGCTCTTGGATAGGGAAACCTTTACGCAAAGACATCAATTGGTCTATAAATAATTAATTTTGTTTGTTAAGCGCAAATATTCGTTTCAAAAATATTTCTAAATTCAGTTCTAATTTCCAGCAAACGAATAAATGAATAATAATAGCGAAATGTGCTCAAAAACCTGAGTTATATCCTAAAACACATGCTGTGCCCCATATGGTCTAAAACCTGACAGGTGGGCAAATCTAAGCTTGTTTTGATTAAAACAAATATAAATATGGATAAAATAAATAATACTGCTAATAATAATAACATTATACAAAAGCAAATTGTTATGAATGAACTGAAAAGGCCTCCCGAGATGAAGAAGACATAAAAGCAGTGATTTTTCATATTTATGTAGGCTAGAAAATAATGTTTTGTAATATTTTAATCCTTTATATTTATATCCTATATCTATTCTTATTATATCCTATATATATCCTTAATATTTACATTTTTTTCATATGTAAAGATATTTGCCTGTTGCTCTCTTGTGTGTATTAAGCAGTGCGTAAGCGAGGCGCAACTATGCGCCAGAGTTTAGACCGGGTTTGTTTTGGTCTAATGAAAAATCTATTATAAATTCTCAAAATAGCAACGCGCCAGCGGTCCGCCTTAGAACGCCTTCCTTTTTAGACCAGAACGCCTATGAGCACACAAATGAGCGCAAATGCATTTGCTATTTAAACAGCGTAGCGCAACGCCTTAAAACGACTCTTGCGCCAAGCTGAAACTACCAAAAGACTACTGCGTCACGCCTTGCGCCACACTGCAGCCGGGTGTATGATAGGGCCCTTTATCCTCGATTACCAACCTCAGGGCTCATAAGATCATTTAGGGCAGTGGCTCTTAAACTGTGGTACACATACCACTAATGGTACACAGGCTTCCTTCTAGTGGTATGAAGAGGAATCGCTGAATAACTGAAGTAACAAAAATATTACACTTTTAACCCTTTAACATTTACAATTACACCAATGTGATAAGTAAATTGATTTTAATAGGCTTAACCAGGGGTGTCCACACTCAGTCCTGGAGGGCTGGTGTCCTGGAGAGTGTCCTGGAGGGCCGGTGTCCTAGAGAGTGTCCTGGAGGGCCGTTGTCCTGAAGAGTTTAGCCCCAACCCTGATCAAACATCTGAACCAACTAATCGAGCTCTTACTAGATATACTAGAAACATCCTAGCAGGTGTGTTGAAGCAAGTTGGAGCTAAATTCAGCAGGACACCGGCCCTTCCAGGACCGAGTTTGGACACCTCTGGGCTAAACCTTCTATTTTATTTTCAATTTTTCTAATGTTTGTTATGCATTCTATCATTTGAAGCTAATTTCCTCTTCATATTTGTAATGGTTGTTTAGGGCGTATCCCATATTTTTATATCCCAATGTTGACAGGTCATTATGGTGGTATTTGGAGAAACATTTTTATTTTTCCTGAGGTGGTACTTGGTGAAAAAAGTTTGAGAACTACTGATTTAGGGTTTATCAGTTTGTTCAATGATGCCCAAGCTAGGGCTGGTGCATACCTGCCAACCCTACCGTTTTCCCGGGATTCGCCTGTATTTTACAGTTCCATCCTGCTATCATGCTGTAAAGGTGTTTTCCCGTATTTTCAGTCTTTCTCTGAAGGGTGGCAATAAACATTGAAGAGCCAAACCTTCCTATATGTAACCCATACCACCAAACCACCAGGGGACGCCCCTTGCTCCTAAATGTGTATCTGTTCTGTGCTTTCACTTTGTTTAGGCATGAAAACACTTTGAAATAAATAGAAGAGCAGCGGGATTCCCTTTCCTTTTTATTACAGGTGCCGTCACCCCTCCTATGCAATCCTTAAAACAGCCATGTAGCGGTGCGTGACTGTCAGCTGAGGCGCTCCATAGTGATTAATAGAGGCTGTTTCCCAAATGCATTCTGTACAAGCGATTTGAAGCAGAGCGAAAGTCTGGGGTTTGGGAGCGTTTACATTTACATTTACATTTAGTCATTTAGCAGACGCTTTTATCCAAAGCGACTTACAAATGAGGACAAGGAAGCAATTTACACAACTAAGAGCAACAATGAATAAGTACTAAAGGCAAGTTTCAGGTCTGTAAAGTCTAAGAAGGGAAGTATTAGTAGTTTTTTTAATTTTTTTTTTTTTTTTTTTGTACAGTTAGTGTGATATTCAGAGAGGCAATTGCAGATTAGGAAGTGAAGTGGAGACTAAATAGTTGAGTTTTTAGTCGTTTCTTGAAGACAGCGAGTGACTCTGCCGTTCTGATGCAGTTAGGGAGTTCATTCCACCAACTGGGCAGATTGAGCGTGAGCGTTCGCGAAAGTGATTTTTTCCCTCTTTGGGATGGAACCACGAGGCGACGTTCATTCACAGAACGCAAGTTTCTGAAGGGCACATAGATCTGCAGAAGTGAGTGCAGATAAGAAGGTGCTAGGCCAGAAGTCACTTTGTAGGCAAACATCAGAGTTTTGAATTTGATGCGAGCAGCAACTGGCAGCCAGTGCAAACGGACTAGCAGCGGAGTGACATGTGCTCGTTTAGGTTCATTAAAGACCACTCGTGCTGCTGCATTCTGGAGCAGCTGAAGAGGTTTGATAGAGTTAGCTGGAAGCCCCGCTAGTAGAGAGTTGCAGTAATCCAGTTTGGAGAGAACAAGAGCTTGAACAAGGAGTTGAGCTGCATGTTCAGATAAGAAGGGTCGGATCTTTCTGATGTTATAGAGTGCAAATCTGCACGATCGAGCAGTTCTAGAAATGTAGTCAGAGAAGTTTAGTTGGTCATCAATCGTTACTCCAAGGCTTTTCACCATTTTGGATGCAGTAATGGTTGCCCCATCCATCTGGATTGAAAAGTTATGGTGTAGAGTCGGGTTGGCAGAAACTACAAGCATTTCCGTTTTTGCGAGGTTCAAACAGACATATACACATAATTAATAATAATTATATCTAAAGATGTCGATCGTGGTGGGTTTTTCTTTCAAACACAACTAATTTCATCCTAAATGAGCATAAAAAGTTAGGAAAGAAACTAAATGCTTTTATTATAACTTTACCTGTGTGCATTTTTAAAGTGACACTTCTGTTATTTAATGTAATCAGATGAGAAATCCAAATAAGTAAGATTCATTTGCTGCTCTTTAATCAGAATGTGTAAGTTAAACAGTGAAGAAACGGCTTATGAGATTTGATAGCTTGATTCTGTTTATAATAGCTATTAATTTTAATAAGCTGAAATGTTTGCTAATTTATTTGCTGCTAATGTATAATATTTCTTTCTTTCTTTTGTAAATAATAATAATAGAATATATTACTGACCATTTAACTGTTTATTTATAATGAAACTGCTCCAAAATGAGCATATTTAGTAATTTGGGGATTTTTTAATCACTTAGTATGGTGGGCACATCCCTTATTTTCACATCTAAATGTTGATAGGTATGGGCTGGTGGCCCGTGGTAACCTTTGATTGAGCCCGCCATTCCATCTGAGAAGAAAGGATGAATGAAGGGGATGGTTTGGAGATTGTCACTTAAAATGTAATGTAACTCTTTGTTTGATTTATTGTTAAAATCTAACTGAAATTAAACGTTTCAATTAAATTAATCAGATTTTGTTTACATGTACATCCTGTCATCTGACAATGCACAGGCTTTGGTGAGCAAATCAAGGCAAAGGCAATTTCTGCTTGACTAGTGTATTCAGCAATTGACTCCACTTTGTTATAAATGTGTTTATTGCAACAAGTTATCGTTTAAAAAGCTATACTGCATTAGTTTATACTATTTAAAGTGATGTTTTTTATTAATTGAAAATATTATGAATTAATTAGGAAATTAACTTTGGCAACTTTAAAGTAATATAGTTTGGTACATTTACCTTCGGCCCACAGGTCTCAATGGTATTTGGTTTTTGTCCTTTCGTACGAAAAAGTTTGGGCATCCCTGGCTTAGTTAAATGTCTGTTTCTCCATGGAAAAAAAATAAATGGGTAATACTAGTTTAAAGTGGACCTATTATGCCCCTTTATACAAGATGCAAAATAAGTCTCTGATGTCCCTAGAGTGTGTGTGTGAAGTTTAAGCTCAGAATACCATACAAATGATGTTTATAACTCTTTAAAACTGACCCTTTTAGGCTTTGACCTTAATTGATCATCATTTTTAGTAACTGTCGCTTTAAATTCAAATGAGACGCTCTTTTTCAGAGGAGGGCGGAGCTACAAATGCCTGTGCATCAGCATAGTGGCAGATTCTACTCTACTCGTATTACTCTAATAGCAGACAGCTGCTTCTCACTCAGGGCTGTCTATGCTAATTAGAGGGAGATTGTCACTAATGGGCGGGGCTTTCAGCCTCTGATGACACATACAAAGAGAAAATGTCAATCAAAGTGTTTCTGCAGACTGTTTTTATCAAGTGTCATTAAAAAAAGAGACTCAATTAACTTTTACCATTAGAGGCTGGCTATATTCACACACTGTTCCCACACAATTGTGTTTAAACCCCTCACAAAGGTGACTTTTTCATGATAGGTCCCCTTTCATCATAATATACACATTTCTGACTACAAATTGAGCATTTGAGCAATCAGAGTCAATTATTTCTGGCAGCCATGTGCGATTAGTTCATGTGTTTTTCGTACCTGGCCTCTCTGAATTTTTTGAGAACCCCGGGCCGGTCCTGGTTTCGTCTCCTCCTGAACCAGCGCTCCACTTGTCTACTCGACCAGCCGCATTTTTTACACAGGCCATCAATATCTGCCTGATAGCAAAGGAAAAACAAGAGGGAAAGAACAGAGACATGAGCCATACTGGTAGTAAAGTCCAAACAATTCACTAGCAAGCTGTGAAATACTGGACTCTAATTTTTTTACATCAAATGTTTGTGCTTCATAATTATGGCATTTATTTATTTTGCTAAATGTTCGTATAAATAATTAGCAAGTATGTATTTAATAAATATCTAATTTATATAAAATAGTATTAATAAAGGGGTGATACTGTGGCTCAGTGGTTAGCACTGTCGCCTCACAGCAAGAAGGTTACTGCCTATAGGTGAATTTAATCAACTAAATTGGCCATAGTGTATATGTGTGTGTGTGAATGAGTGTGTATGGGTGTTTCCCAGTACTGGGTTGCAGCTGGAGGGGAATCCAATGCGCATTTTATAATAAATACAAACTAGTAGATAAATTTACTAGTACCTGTACATAGATATATACACAAGATATCGCATAGGGACCCTGTGCATGCGTCAGCAGCACGACCATATTGGTACAGTGCTCCCAGGACAAGTGCCATTCAACCGCACTAGTCAACACAGTGTTATTACGTGAAGATGCTGGACTTTAGTGTTGTGTACGGGTGTAGTAACGAGCAAACAAAGAAAACAAAGCACAAAGAAAGAACATTTTATAGGTAAGATTTAGTTTTTTACGTTTTTGTATGTTCTGAACTTTTGTGCTAAACAGGTAATGTTATTGATGATAACAGTCACTTACTGCATTCACCATACGGCAAAGCAGCTCCAACTTGCACTAAACACTCGGCTTATGCTTTTGTTGAATAAAATCAGCAAACAATGCAAAAGAAATATGACGAGATGCTGAGGTGCCAGAAACTTGTATTATTGTCGACTAGTGAACGAGTCGTTCATAACGGCGATTCATTCACAAACGAATCACTTCCTCCGTCAGTATGAGAAGTGAAAGCAGGAGAGGAGGTGTGTTTCAGGACATGATTAGATCAAATTTAACAGGGAGGGTGAATAGTACATTTCTGTACACACAAACACAAGCTTTTTGTCAGGAATGGCAGTGCGATCGCTGATCCATCAATGTGGAAAAGTGATGTAAAATTATAAGTTTTGTAATATAAAAAAAAATTGCATACTGACCTCCGGAAAGCTCCTGATCTTAGATATGTGTGTATATGTAATTCTCTGGCTCCGGATGGCCACAGTCTTCCACTGAAGCTTGTTCCCGCATTCATTTCAAAGGAGCACTACCCTGTACTAAAATGGCGGCTCTATTGACGCATTCCTTCTAATAGACAACAATAGGGCAGGCGACATCTAATGTATATATCTATGGTACCTATATTGCTAGTATTTTTCCACTACTAAGACTTACCACTTCTATCAGCAAGTCGTAATGTAATTATTTGATGCCCAAATCATGCCTAAATGCACTTTTCCAGCACATACTGTATATAGACAGGAATCTGAAGGTGATGAGGTAAAAAACTTTACCTGTCCTGGGTTTTTTGACTTGGTTGTGAAGTGTTGTTCAAGAACAGTGTTGTGCTCCGCTCTGTGTCTGATTTTCTCTGTAATGCCCAGTGAAGCTGCGAGAGGTGTCGCTATTAACCTAAACAGACACACATTCGTGGAACTAGATGAGTAAAGTTTGTTGACAAACATAAATGCAGACTTTTATCTCAGTGTTGATGTAGTTCCAACTTGAATTGGAAAACTAAGTAGGGGGCGGGGCTTTCTTTTGCATATCATTCAGTCATAGCAAACTAATTGTATGAGGGGTGTGGTTAAGGATATAAATATACAGTTGCTATGGAAGCCCTCAGGTTGACGTCAACTGAAGGACCGCCACTCCTAACGAAGAAATCAAATGGTCAGACATTAATTTAAGATTACCAAAACAAACTTTTTTTTTTCCCTCAGTGGATTAACTTTTACAGATTAATCAATAGTTTTAAGAATAACAATGTGAGCCAGCAAAATAAACATGGCAAATATTGATTTCATGCAGACTTAAACATGTTTGGTAGAATGTTCTAGTACATTAGCATATTGTTAGCATGAACTAACATGGTGCTTTCGTGTTTTTACATGAATTAGCACTTTGCTAACAATAATTAGCATGTTGGTAGTAGGGATGTGCAATTAATTGAAATCGTATCAAAATCGCGATTTGAACTTGTACGATTTCGAAATCGCCTTACAGCACGGTTTTCCCGCAGTATGCCATTTGAAGAGTTTCCTTGCAAAGCGAGATCTATCCATTTTGAGAAATGAAGGTTATTTGAGATTATTATTTAAGACAGCCACAGTCAAGTTCATTCACAATATTTATACGACAGGTCGCTCGAGTGTCTGCCGAACATAGGCTTACACACAGTTTAAATACATTTCTGTGTCTTAATGCTCCACCCAAATTTTTACATGACACACCTCCATCAGCTTCTCCGCTAATGTGATCCTAAATCTCTCAGGTGCCAGCCACCAATAGAATCTCAGGGTCTTTCAGGGGTCTTACCCATGTCCAGTTAAGGTCTTTCCTTCCTGCTTCAAAGCGAAGACTCAGCCAAAAAACAATGCTCAACAATATATCTTGTTCACTGTCCACTGAGCTGTCAACTGTAAGTTCAGCTGAAGTTCATAGGTACTCATAATTCTTTAGATGTCAGTACAAGTGAGTGTGGGCGCACATGCAGGTGTGCTTTATCATGAGTTACAGAACAGAACGCAGGTGTCCTTTTAGCCTTGCTTCCATAAATCAACCCTCTTTGTGACATTAATGCTGCTCTTCTACTTTATCTTCTAATCTCTGACTGCATTTACACAGAATGACTTTTTCATTTGCCAAAGCACACATACCTGATAATAATGCCGCAGGTATGGGTAATAATACAATAGATAATAATAATAATAATACTGAAATCACTCAAAAAAGCATATAAATGAGAGTAATACATTCATCAGAAATTCATCAAGACACAATGAATTCCCCAACAGTTGTTAGGGTATTTAGGGTTAGCATAATTAAGAATGTAGCTGACATAAATTAACATGTTACTAACAAATGTTTAAAGTGAAGTTTATTTATAAATAATTTAGAAAGGATCACATGCTTATAATTGCTTGCAGCCGGTCCCGCATTATCAAACTTATGATTCACCAATCAAACGATTCTTAAGCCTCTATAAATAACCGTAAGTTCCATATCCCAGACATCTTCGTTTTGAAGAATCCCCCCTTCCACCTCTACTCCTCCTTCTTTCCTAGATGGGTGACACAGTGGCTCAGTGGTTAGCACTGTTGCCCCGCAGCAAGAACGTCACTGGTTCTAGTCCTTACCAAGCCAGCTGAATTTTCTGTGCGGAATTTACACGTTCTCCTTGTGATCACGAGGGTTTCCCCCGGATTCCCTGGTTTCCTCCCAACATCCAAAATCACGCAACTTAGTTAATAGACTAATTCAAATCAACATCCTAGACATGCTCCTAGTAAGCAGTTACCTTTTAAGAGCAATCACTATCTGTTCATTAGCTACTACAACAGGGAAGTTCTCGAGATCTACCTGAGCTCAAACTCCCTTCTCGCTTTGCAAACGGGAGGGAGCCCCAGGTTCGAGGATCTTATGAGCTCAGGGCTCTCTACCAGGACAGCATGCCAAACATTCTTTATAAACAATCATCAGCTAAGTGTGAACTCTTGAAACGAATTAAAATGTAGCTAGCATTAAAATCAGCATGTTGTTAATCTATTTCTTACTATATATATATATATATATATATATATATATATATATATATATATATATATATATATATATAATTTTTTTTTTAATATAAATATTAATAAATTTATATGAAACAGAATTAGGATGTTGCCAGCAAAAATTAGTGTATCGCTAGCATGAATTAGTAAGAAAAGGGATAGCATAACACTTCATATTATCCTAGTAAAAGTTTGGTTTTTGTACATCCCACACATTAATTATATTAAAAATAATTACCCATTTAAATCAAGGACACAAAAGTTGGGCTGTTTAAGGTGAAAAAAATTGTGATGTTTTTTCAATAACAAATTTCCTGCAACTCAGGAATGTCAGAAGCATCTTAATACTCAAACATTAATTTGTCGACTTAAATTAGCATGTTGCTAACACACATTTAAAATTATTTTAATATGTTGCTAGCATTAAATCAGCATGTTCCTAATCTATTTCTTACAACAGCAAAAAAAAAAAAAAAAAGTAAAGAATTAGCATATCGCTAACATGAATTAGTAAAGGAAAGAGATAGCATAGCACCTCTAAATAGCCAGATGGTTTGACGCAAGTTTGGTTGTTGTTCATCCCACACATGAATTGTATTTAAAATCATTTTACTTTATAATCTATTTGTAAGCTAAAAGACTAGATAGTGTTTTTCCAATAACTTATTTCCTGCAACACAAGATTGTGAATCTTACCGCTCAAACAAGTATCTGACCATCAGGAAGATGAGAGCGTATGGCAGTGTGATGTAAAGGTGTGAAGGTCTGGCATAGACGAGACCGTCTTCATCTTTCAGATCAGCCCACGTCAGGTTCCCCGGCAGCCAGAGACGATCCCACCAAAACCACTCACCCAGCGTCCCGATCACCAACATCTAGAGACAAACACCCACAGACACGCGTCCAATTCAATTCAAAGCTTTATTTCAATAGTTATTTTTACAATGTATATTATAACATGTAATAGCAGCTTAACATACTCATAGAAAAGAGAATAAAAACCATACAACACACACATGACTACATGTATTTAATATTGACGTTTTGACTAGATCAACAAAAAAAGCTTCAAATAATGGAGCTTTTTCACATTTGAAGGTTTCTCGGTTGCGGAAGTTGTCATAGTTGTGTAAACTTTCAGAAAAAGGTTTAAAAAAAATGTGTGAGACTGATAACTGCAGCCAGAAGAGAAAACAACTTCACATTCACTGTCCTGTCCCCGTAGACAATGCATTAAAAACCCCTCACACAATTGGTAATTAGTTTTTTTTTTTCTATTTTGATGCAAAGATCATATGATACAAACATAAATACACATCATTGTACTTATGTTTTATTTTTAAATCCAAAAATTAAAAACTTTCAAGGATTTAAGATGCTGATGACCGTTAAACACATCATAGCAGTCTTGAGAAAAGGTCTATACTTCTGATTACTCAACAGTTTTTTTCCACAAGCTGTAATGCTGAGTTCACACCAGACGCGGAACGTGTGTCAAGCGCGAGTGATTTACATGTTAAGTCAATGCAAACACGCGAATAGACATCCTGCGGTGCGATACGCGCGAATGGCGCGGTGCAAAAAGCGCGTTATGCGCAATCGTTAACGAGCATTTCGCGCGAATCTCTCGAGTTTGAAAATCTGAACTTCAGTGGACATTCGCGCCGCATTAACCAATCAGAAGCTTGCTCTTGTGGGGGCGTGATTGTGACGTAGAACCTGTTGATGGTGTCCCGGGGGAAATCCTCCAAGCGACACCAACAAATCATCAAACTGGGCTCGGCTCAGTCAGAAGCACCGTTGAAAGTCTCCGTCATCAAGGTTCAGTTTCTGGAGGAGTTTATGAGCTCACAGAGCTGGATGCACCTCTGAAAGGATGCAGTGGACTCAGACAGGACCCTAAACGTATCGACGCTGTTTTTCAGTCTCCATAATGCACATTAACAACACTGTTATTTTCTTAATAAAATCCATGTTAGCCATTTAGCTATGAAGCTAGAGTCACCGGGCAGACAGAAGCCCTGCCCATCACGCGAATCCGCGTCTGTTTTGAAGTGAATTTGACATGCGATTGAAGCGGATTTGACGCGCGAATGAAGCGGGGGTTGACGCGCGAATGAACCGTGTAAACTCAAATGTTCACGCGGCTATTTACGTGCGAATAGCGCGATTTATCCACGCGTTCCGCGACTGGTGTGAACACATCATAATAGACTTCAACTCCAATCACCTCACTTTCCTCTAAAATATCATCCACAATCCCAGCTCCCAAGACCAGGACACCCACTTCTCCCCAACACAATACACGAAAACCTGAAAACATTACACGATTCTGGACGTGCCTCATGCAGGTGAGTGGGCTTGACAAACCACCTGTAGAAAACACATTCTTTCATTTCTCTAATGCTGTGTTCACACCAGACACGGAACGCACGGATAAATCACGCTATTCACGCGTAAATAGCCGCTTGAACATTTAAGTTTACTCGCTTCATTCACACGTCAAACCCCGCTTCATTAGCGCATCAAATTCACTTTAGAACAGACGCGGATTTGTGTGATGGGTAGGGCTTTTGTCTGCCCGGTGACTCTAGCTTCATTACTAAATGGCTAACATGGATTTTATTAAGGAAATAAGTGTGTTTATGTGTTTTATGAAGGCTAAAAAACAGTGTAGATACATTTACGGCCGTGTCTGTGTCTACTAGATCCTTTCAGAGGTGCATCCAGCTTACAAACTCCTCCAGAAACTTAACCTGTATGATGGAGGCTTTCAGCGGTGCTTCTGACTGAGCCGAGCCCAGTTTGATGCACTGTTGTCGGCTGGAGGATTTTCCTAGGGACACCAACAACAGGTGTAGGTCACAATCATGCCCCCACAAGAGCAAGCTCCTGATTGGTTAATGCTGCGCGAATGTCCGCTTAAGTTCAGGTTTTTGAACTCGAGCGATGCACGAAAGGCGTGTTAAGTGCGTCAAACGCGCAAAACGATCAATTTACGAAGCATTTTTTTACGCGTATCGTGCCACAGGATGTCTATTTGCGCGTTTGCATTGACTTAACAGGTAAATCCCTCGCGCTTGACACGCCTTCCGCATCTGGTGTGAACACAGCATGACACTTTATCTGACACTTGCACCAGTTTGCTCATTTGCTCCTTTCCTAAAATCAATCTATATCTCTATAAAACATTGTGCATTTCTGAGTGTGCCTCACATAGGTGAGTGGGGTTGACAAACCACCTGTACACTCTCAGAAATAAAGATACGCAGACTGTCACTGGGGTGGTACATTTTCAAAAGGTACACATTTGTTCTTAAAGGGTCCATATTGGTACCTTAAAAGTATATTACCTAAAAAATTTAAGAGGAACACTTTTGTACTTTTTAGGCACTAATATGTACCCTTGAGATATTAATATGGATCTTTTAGGTACACATTTGTACCTTCTAAAAAAGGTACCACCCCAGTGACAGCTCACATACCTTTATTTCTGAGATTGTGTTCACTTGACCTAAACTCCATCTTACAAGGACTCAATAAGGAAAACAATGTTACCTGTGAATTTACCACAAATCATGTTGCACTGCTTGTTTTCTTCAATCTTAAATACCTCTTTTGCTCAATATCTTGCCCAATATTATTCTGTCTTATGTAAAAGTACCTGTATAGTCAGTCTTAGGTTATTTCTATAGTTTACAGTATATGTGTAGTTAGTAGTATAGTTAGATTATCGCTCAGATATGTTAGTCATTCATAGGTTTTAAATAGGTCTTGTTTATCATGTACAGACTGTATATTTTTCTGTAAATCAGGAATATATGTACAAACACTCACACGTTGTAGAAAGACCACTTGAACTTTTAAAGTTTATGCTCTAGCATTCATTCATTTGTTTTCTTTTTGATTTAGTCCCTTTATTAGTCAGGGGTTGCCACAGCGGGATGAACTGCCAACTTATCCAGCATATGTTTTACGCAGCGGATGCCCTTGCAGGCATCTGATCTGAAGGAAGACACTGAATTAAGAGAATGGTTTTCGCTTGCACTTAAACCACATCTGACAGAATTATAACTGCTTTGACACACGTCTTTCAAAATCAAAGTTGTGCATTACAAAAACACTCAAAATGGGATTGTTAACCATTTTTGGATCAAGATTTACTAGTTGTAAACAGAAGTTCTAAACATCCTACTGGAAGACGCTGGTGGCTATGGCGTTCTCCTTGCAGCAACGAAGAAAAAGGTCTATACAATGATTTGCTTACAATACAATGATCAGGCCCGTTTTCCTTCCGTTTGAGAAGTGTGAGTGCGCTGAATCGGGCTCAAGCACGGTTCACTTGGCCGGCCCTGGCCCGGTTGGAAGAGGTGTGCCTGAGCGTGGTTCACTTGGGCTTTGGCGCGGTACGCTTGTGTGTGAGTGCAAAACGCACCAAAGCCCAAAACTGAAAGCGAAACGTGACTTTTAAGGGACTGTTTCATATAGATTTATTAATTATTCTTACTTTTCAGTGAACGCAAATTGCAGTAGTTTATTAAAGACGAGAACTCCTCACCGCACGACAGCTGCGCGCCTTCAGCAGACCTCCTCATTCCTGCAGCACGAGAGCTTTATGTTTGTTTTTGAGCGCCAAAAGTGGCGGATCTGTTCGGCGAAATATCTTTTTTTTTTTTTTTTTATTAGAATATGCAAAAATCATACAAATACAAGAAACATCAACAGATAACAAATACAAAGCAACAAAACGAAAACAAAACAAAAACATCAACAATATAGTCATGTATTGGTATGTGCGTGAGTGTGTGCGTGTGAGTGTGTGTATGCATGTAAAGGTAACTACTACTGCTTCTACTACAGCCACAACCACGACTACTACTACTAAAGTGTCTACTAATACTGATACTACTACAACGACTACCACTACTGATACTACTATAGCGTTTGCTACAACTAATACAACAATGTCTACTGCGACTACTACTACTACTACTACTACTACTACTACCATCACTTCTACTACATCTACATCAACAACATCTACTACTGATATTACTACACCAACAACGACTACTACTACTACTGTAACAACCACACCATTACTACTTCTGCTACTACTATGCCAATGACATCTACTACTACATGAACTACAACTTCTATAATCTCCGTAACAATTACTCAATAACAATCTATACTATTACAATGACTACTACTTCAACTACTACTACTACTACTACTACTACTACTACAACTACTACCGTTACAACTACAACAACTGCAACCTTACTAATGATAATGGTATAAATACTTGTAATAATGATAATGAAAAGATAACAGGACAAGTCAGAACAGTAATAATAATAATGATAATAAAAAATAAAAGTAATACCATTTATGACAAAGATGTCGAGGAAAGGGGAGGATGGGAATATCTGACTGCGTGTCACCGCATCCCTAAGGACTGTTTGGCGAAATATTTGACTGCATGTCACTGCATATCAAACAACTGACACGATATAACTAGAGAAATCTCATCTGTGCTGCTGAGTGAGAGAGCGCTTCTCACTGAACAGTGCACCAGCGATGACGTAAGCGTGCCGAGGCCCGTTTGTGGTGTGAGTGCGGGCCGTTGGGGGAGACAGGAGGGAGGACAAGCGTGCTTTGGCCCGGTTCGAGGCAACTGTAGCTAATGTGAGTACGGCCTAAGTGTAAGTGTGTTGAAGCAGGGTTGGAGCTAAACTGAGCAGGGCTCCGGCTCTCCAGGAACTGGCTTTGACACCTGTGTTTTACGTCACTTAAAGTTGAATACTAGTATCTTGGAAAATATCTAGTAAAACATTATGTACTGTCATCATGACAAAGATAAAATAAATCA